CTGCACATAGCAGGGGGGTTGAAACCAGATGATCATTGTGGTCCTTTTCAATCCAGGCCATTCTATGATTCTGTGATTCAAAGTTTAGGTTTCTTGGCTTGGCTGTGCCCATGGATAATGGCAGGCAGGAGAGCTGTGTGTCCCCTCCAAACCTTACCATAGCAGGTGTCAAACCTCCCTTGTGCAGGAATATGGCCACTGGAGACAGCTCCTGTGAAGCAGTGCACCACGAAACAACAGCCTCATGGTTGGAGGGAGGCAAAGGGCTGAGCCCTTACTTGCAGCAGCACAACACAGAGCATTGCAGTACGGACCACCTCTGCCAGCACTGCGCCGTGCAGCCTCTCTGGCTCAGCCCTCGTGTCCTTAATGGCTCCCACTGCTTTCTTCTCTCCTATGGTGTTTTTTTTCCTCACTATCTGCTCCGAAAAAGCTCTCACAAAACATTTCATTTCTCTTTGTTATGGAGCTTCACTGTGCACGGATTCTTTTCATCTAAAATTATTCCTTTTTGGTGCCGTGATGTGACTTCAAGCTTCTCTGCTCTGCCCGTGGATGTGATGCACAGCATCCAGCAAGGAGCGACGTGTCCGCCCTTTGCAGGGGCACCACGAGGGCATTGCCACAGCCAGGTGATGCTACTCGACAGAGCATTTTGCAGTCATTTTTTTCACCCATTGACTGAATTTATATCTAAAATAATAATAAAAAAGAAGAGCTAACAAATAAAATATAAATAGTTAATTTTCCTGCTGTTCAGCCTGGGAATTCAGATTCAAGTTTAGACTAGAAAATCAGAAGGAAATTCAAAGATACTCTGCTTTCTTGATGACTGCAGCTGCTACCTTAGCACAGAGATTCCCTGTAGATCTACGAACAAGGACTTCCAGGAGCTGATAAAGATGAAGAAAACTGCGGAAGACCTCCTTGTACCCACTGCTGCCTGCCTGGCTCATCAGATTGCTTTCAACCCTCCGGCACGACGTGCCTCTTCCCTGTGGGCAGGAGGAGAAAATAGGCTCCCTGAGTGGACACTGCAGAAATGAATGGGGCCACTGCAGCCCTGGGAGGAGGACGGGCACTGAGCACAAAGCCCCATCCCCAGGCGCTCGCCCTCCTCTCCTTTTGTCCCCAAAGAGGCCACGTTTGGTGTCAGAGCTGTTCTGTGGTGGGCTGTGCAATGCGCGTGTGGTCCCAAATAGCGCTGTGAATGATGCACCTGAGCTGCACAGCTGTGGGCAGTGTGATGGCACAACAGGACCTGGGAAAATGGCGTGGTTACCTGGCACCTTTGTGCCCCTGTGACATTGAAATGATACGGGTGGAGATTTTCTTCCAAAGTGGAAAAACTTTTTGGCCTCCATGACAGTGGGTTAATTGGCAGTGCTATGGCAGCAGATGGGACGCAGAGAGTTTTTTATCCATTGGGTTGTTTCAAAGCAAGTTCAGACGTGGCATCAAGCAGGGATCTGTTCCCTCCCGGTCTGTCCTGGGTGAGGAGCTGCCCTACCACGGTGAGGGGCCGGGGATGGGAGGAAAGGACTGCACTTATGGTTCAGTGGCATCTGTCATATAGTGGAACGTCCATTCTTGCCACCACCAGCAGCAAAACTACCAGCGATGCTGCTGGTTTGTAACTGCTTGTTGGGCCCAGAGATGGCTTTCATTGCTTGGTCTTACAGGACTTGTGCAGAAAGTTTGCTTTCCCTGTCTGATGGCAGACATTCTCAGGCCTGAAAAATATGTAATTGGGAGCAACAACAAATTAGCTGATGTTTTATTTCATGTTACCAGCACAGGTTGTCCAGGCCATGCATCCATAACCTGCACAGGGCCAGCTCCTCACTGCTGTGTGTGGCTCTGCTCGCTCAGCCATCCAAGAGCTGGCGAAATTGCAGCTTTGAAGGATGCCACGTGCTGAGCTCCCTGGGTTAGGGATGCTGTGAACCAGTTGTGTTTTCTGCAGCATGCAAAGAGAAGGCAGTTTGGGCATGCAGGAGATGTGCAGCTTTATGGCCACAGCTCTGATTTCCATCCTCCCCAGGGTCCTGCTAAGCACTGGGCACAGAGCTGGGCTCTCCCTGCTGTGCCAGCTGCCAGAATAAGGGCACAAGTAGGGTCGCTGCCACCCCCCTCCCAGCCCCATGGGCAATCCAGAGGTGTGGACTCATTTTCCAAAGCCTTTTCCCCCAGCAAAAAGAGGAATGATGGGGTGCTGAGCCTGACTGAGCTTGACTGACACCTGGGTGTGGGGTGCATGCAGCAGGGGCTGGCACATGGGGCTGTGCTGCAATGCAGAAGTGCTGCAAGAGTGGGGCTTTACCCCAAAATATTTGTTCGTCAGTATGGGAGAGAGAAGCAGTGCCTCTCAGAGGACTGCAATCTCAGAATTAGTGATGATAATCGTAAAAACTAATCAGTGCTCAACATTAAAGGCCATGGCATTACCCTCCTCACAGCTTGGCCACCTGCTTGTGAGCTGTGCATGCCAAACCTGGGGTGCACAGTGCTCCCTGTGTTCGAACAGCAGGGAAATGGGGCTGCAGGGCAGAAACGGGGCTGCAGGGCAGAAACGGGGCTGCAGGGCCGGGCTCCTGGCAGGAGGACCCCATGTCCAGCCCGGAGCAGGGCAGGAGGCACAGGACAGGTTTGGGGGCCGGTCCCTAATTAAAACCTTTCTCATGAAGTTGAAAACAACTCAATTCCGTGCCTGTTTAATATTTAACAGATGGGGCCGG